GTCATGGGAACAAAGATGTGGGGGATTTTATTACAACCAGAAGTAATCTCTCTTCTCTCTGATTCCAAGAGCTTTCTTCATTCCTCTCCTTAAAATACTTGCATCAGGGAAGGTATCATCTATGATTAACACAGGGTGAGTGTTGAAGGACATGCAGGAACTCATTAAGTGACCAAAGGAAAGCTTAAGTGTTTCAGGCAAAGGCAAGTGTGTGTGCAAAGGAACTTGAAAAAATATGTTTTCCTAATACCTAAAGTCGGAAGACGGTAACAGGAAGTGAAAGGGAAAACAATTAAGCAGAAACCAGATTACAAAGGGTCACATACACAATGGTATCATTTTGCACAAACTCATCCAATTGTCTGAACTCATCAAACTGTACACATTAAAGGTACAATTCTTTATCAATCATAACTCAACAAAGCTGTTACAAAAAGAAAATGATGTGGTCTTTCAGACAATATCTGGAACCCACCATCCACCCACCCACGTGCTAACTTATTGGAATCTTTAGGGATCTACTTGGTAGTCAAACAGCACAGCCAATAGAGGAACTCTTTGGTATAAGAGGATCATAAGTTCAAGTCCCAGCTCTGCCACTTTCTGGCAGTGTGACCACTGGTGAGTTATTCTACCTTCTTGAGTATTTTACCTTACTCATAAAACATGCTAGTCCCCACATCTCAAAGCAGCCAGGAGGATGAAATAGATCAAGTGGTCAACAAATGTTGTTAGGCATATAACTCCCTCTATTTAATAAAACAACTTTAGGGAATGAGATTTACAGAATAATCAAAGTAAGTAAGCTCTTTTTCAAGAAAGGGCTGAGATTAAAAGTTAAGTTACTCATTAGATGTTATACATTTATGAGAAAAAAATTGTGTGTAATAGAAACAGCACTTGCATCTTCCAGAGACTCTCCATCTCCTGCATTTAGGGCATAATATGGGAAGCCCCAAGGAACCAGCTATTTTGAATCCCTATAACCGTATTTTTCTCTTTTTATACTTTTCAGGCCCTTACCCCAGAGCAAGTGTCATTCTGTGCCACACATATGCAGCAATATATGGACCCACAGGGTCGAAGCCATCTCTCTGGCTATGACTACGTTGGCTTCACCAATTCCTATTTTGGCAACTCATAAGCAGCTCCTCGTGGATCATAGAAAATCTTAGTGTTGTGGGAAATTTACTGGGGGGTGAAGAGTACAGGCAAATATGGAAGATAAAGATGGCCTCGTGTGTGTGTGCGCTTGTGTTTGTGTGCATATTACATTTATTGCAGGACCTTAAAAAATCTCAAGGGTGGGAGATAGAAAGGTTAATAGAGTTGGAGGAGTGGATGCTATTTTGTATGCAACTAGTCACTGCTGAGGGGTGTCAAAGTTTCTATTTTTATTTGTTCTGTTTTGCATGTCTTTATCATTATGCTTTATTCCTATTATATAGTAATTCTTTTTAAAAATATTTTTGGGGCAAAGTTAAGTGAAATGTTGAGCTTCTATATTTCTGAGAACTGTACTTATATAAGAGTGGGCAGCTAATTTTACTGTAAAGAAGGGCCATGGTATAGTAAATAAATAAAATCCAAGGCAATTTGCAAACAATTTTTTTAAACTTTGGAATGTGTTTAAATTTAAATTTGAAAATAAAGATATTTGATATTCTGGAGAACATGAATATTTTAGTTTGTACAATGAAACAACACACAGATCAACGTAACACCTGTTTTCTTCTTAACTTTTTTTTCCATAATTCAAAATTATGGTAGCTGTCATTACTCTCAGAATGACAAAATTCCAGCATAGCAGGGCTTTCTCTTGTCCTCCAAGCACCCGTATTTTCTCTTAAGTTTTAATGTAATAAAAATAATACTTCTATATCCAATTAAAGTAAGTTAATAGAATTATTTATAAAATTAAGAATTAATTTAAAAAAAGAAGAGGTGATAATATCTTCATAAATTTTCAGGCCAGGTTTAGTCTAAACAGGTTTACATGCCGACATTCTGATTTGATTTATAAAAGGTAATGGTGTCATTAGCTGGTGAGAATTCTTAGATCACTTATTTGCTGTGTATAAAACTGCTAGCATTCTGCACAAATAGTCCCCAATTACCAATCCATTAATGTTGCCCCTTGATTACCATCTTAAGTCTCAGTCCCTTCCTCTGCATAGAAATGAATCTGTGCAGGACAAATCCTGTCATAAGAGCCTTTTTTTAAACAAAAAAATCGTTAAAGCTAAAATGTTATCATTGATACCAACAACATACAGGTATTTTAGTGACTCTTTTCTTAAATTGTCAAATACTATGGAATATAACAAGCAGAAAGTATTTTCAAAATTAATGTTCACAAATGTCTAAATTGTCTAATTATGAGTTACCAAAAATAGTACAGTTGGAAAAGATATAGGCCATCACAAATTAGCATCGTTTAATATCATACTTATCATGTATGGATAGTCTAAAACTATTTGTGCTGAAAATAATCACAAGCAAAAGTGGATGTGGTTCCATTCCCCCAATGCTAACCCTGCCAAAAATTTTCAAGACCTAGATCAAATTATTAGTCATTTTAGTGAGTCAAATGTGTGTACCCGGAAGAAGAGTTTGCCCTTTTTAAGCACATAGTCACATACTTAATCAAGGGAGGAAATTTGAATCACCAAACGAGATTTTGAAGACTATTATGTTTTCCCTATCCCAGATCAATTGTTTCAAGGTAGAAACAAATAGAGATAGATTCCAGAAACACCTATTTGGAAAAATCCCTCCAAGTGATTTTACACCCTTCCATACTTAAGACTACTACATGTGGAAGTTAGACCATTAAGTATTACTTAGCAATACTTGAAACATCCTTACTAACCTTTGGTCACTATGCATTTAGGCAATGTTATGCTGGGCAGACTGAATGAATTGGTGAAATGAATTTGCTCACATGGCCTCAGTGCAATGAGAGATTACTTCTCCCTATATGGAGAACTCTAGAGTAGATGACCTTCTCTCTGATGAGGCCCTTTTGGCTGTCTAACTCATCTACTTGTCTTCATCCCGTTCTCTGAGATCTAGCTTCCTTCCTCTCAAATTCAGTTTTCATCAAATTCCAACTAGAGTATGTGTTTCTTTCCTGAGAGCATAGAAAAATATGGATTGCTGTCTGAAAAATATCTTCTCAGCCTAAGCTCTTTCCTCGTCTTTCAAGCCATGCCCCACTTCTCTCTCACTGCCAAATCCTATGAATTCTATCTTCTCAAAATCTCATGTTTGTGATTTCCTTCAGTCTCTGAATGTCACTATCCATATTAAAGCCTCTTTGCCTTTCTTTAAGCTGATATCCATGGATTTCTTGCTGATCTCCTTGCCTCTGGTTTCTCTCTGCTGAAATCTATCATCCCCTCTGCTGCTAGATTAATCTTCCTAAATCCCTTCCCAGATCCACTCTCTGTTCAACGTTTTATTGTGCTTTATATCTCCTATAGACAAAAAGACCATGTCTGAAGCAAGGTATTCAAATTCTTTCAAGTAAGCCTTGATTCAAACTAACTTCTCAGCATCATTTGTGAGGTGTTTCCAGCCCCTCTGAATAACTCACACACTCTGAAACAGGCCTATATTGTCTTACCATCAAGCCTTTGGCTTTTATGTTCTCTCTTCTGATAATATACTTTCCCCCCGCCGTCAGTGCATTCAAAGCTCATCCATCCTTTAGGAACAAGTTCAAATACTATTTAACACATGAAGTCTTCTCTGATCCTCTACCTAGAGTAAACTCTACCTGAACTAAAAGCCAGTATCTTTTTCCTTCTCACATTTTAATAGTAGCAACTGGAATTTATTGGAAGATCACTATGATCCAAGGGTTGTGCTAAATTCTTTGTATGCATGATCCTGTTTAGCCACCAACACAAAACTGAAGTTATAACCATTTTAAAGATAAGAACTCTGAAGCTGAAAAATGTTAAATAACTTACCTAGAGTCACACAGCTAGTAAGTTGAAGAGTTTGGATTCAAACTCCTGCTAGACGGTCTTGTGAGTTCATGACACTTTCTCAAATAATGTCTGCCACTATATATAACCATATTATATGTGGAAAGTGAAATAGGCAGAATAGATAGTTTTGCAATAGATTCAAAAGAACAGTATCCAGTTTGGTGAGTGACCCAAATGAGAAGGGTTTTTAACATGCAAGATTCTGAAGCTATCAGAGAGCATTAACAATTACCAAAAAAAAGGAAGTAAATATATTTTCTGAAATAGAATCCACCCAGCTTGGAAAATCAATTAAAACAAAAAGGGCAAAGTAATAGAGTCAGAGATAGGAAGGGCAACTATATAAAAAGATGATTCCATGTTTTTGCTACTGTCAATAGCACAATGATGAACCTATAAGCACATGTGCCCCACTGTATATGAAATAAAAGTTGAAATTAAAAAAATAGTAAAAGCATAAAAAGATGAAAGACACTCAGTGGGAGTAAAAATGACCCACCTGTTCATTAACACAGCTTTAAACTAACCTGTCAAGCTGATATTCACCAGGTTTCCAATCTTGGAAGAACACTACAGGTCAAATAGTCTAATTATGTAATGATTTTAGAAATCTCTACAGTATCCCTGATAGGCTCCTGCCAGCCCTGCCTTGACCTTGAACACTCCAAACTTCTGTTCAGCTCAATTAAAAAATTCTTGATTACCTTAATTAAATTTTTTAATTCTTAATGGGTTTCAGTAACTAGGGGTGGCATCTAAGAGGCTGAAAGTTAAAATTCAGATTTTGGGCTCATTTTGAGTTGTGCACAGTGAGCAGAGCAGGAAGCACCGCCTTTGCATTTCCAAGCAGTCGGGGGGAAGGGCAAGAGGCAGGATAAGGCTTTTCCAGATGATTGGGGGTAGGAAAGCTTTGGCCTGAGGACTTGAATACCTGGCCCTTTGGCTTGGGTTCTTGGTCTATGCCCAGCCTACACAGAAGAAAGTGTCCTATTGGTGTAACCTTCATCTTTTACCCAGCAATCTCCCTCGGAAAGCATTCCTCAGAGCAGTCTGTACAGCCCTATTCCTTAGACTATAAACAATGGGGTTAAGGAGTGGAGTCACTACAGTATAGGTCATGGCAATAAGCTGATCTCTCTCAAGAGAGTAGCTGGCTTTGGGCCTCAAGTACATGAAGGAGGCACAGCCGTAGTGAATAATGACCACTGTGAGGTGCGAGGCACAAATGGAGAAGGCCTTCTTCTGCCCCTCTGCAGAGGGGATCTTCAGTATTGCCGCCAAGATGTAGGCGTAGGAGATGGTGATGAAGAAGAAGGAGACCAAGAGGACCAGAAGACTGAGGATGAGGATCCCCAGCTCACTCAGGCCTGTATCCCCACAGGCTAGGCTCAGCACTGGCGGTGTGTCACAAAAAAAGTGCTGGATTTCATGGGAGCTGCAGAAAGAGAGGTGGAAAATAACTAGTGTCATTCCCAGTCCAAAGAGGTATCCAATCAGGAAGGAAGTAACAACCAGCTGGGTACAGAGGGTAGGATTCATGCGGCTGGCATAGTGCAGTGGGGCACAGATGGCCACATATCTGTCAAAGCCCATGGCAGCCAGAAGGAAGCAGTTAGTACAGGCCCATGAGGCAGAAAAGAACATCTGGGCAGCACAGCCCACATAGGAGATAGCCTGGTCCCCCATAGCCAGGCCAAAGAGCATCCTAGGGATGATGCCCAAAGTGTAGCAGGTCTCGGAGAAGGATAGGAAGACAAGGAAGAGGTACATGGGGGTGTGCAGATGGCTATCCAGCCGAATGGCTATGATAATGAAGACATTGCTGGTCAGAGTGACGAGATACAGAGAGAGGAACAAGGCAAAGAGAAGGTGTTGCAACTCCCCAGAACCGGAGAAGCCCAGGAAGACAAAATCCCTCCAGGAGGTTACATTGGTTTGCCCCATCCCTGATAGATTTGATGATTTCTTCCACCTTGCTAGTAGGTACCTGGCTTCTTTAAAAGGTGGATGATATGGATTCTTTTTCTCTTGTTCCTGTTGTAACTTAAAAAGGAAGCTCTGATTTAGACTCTACTCAAACTTCAAAAAAGTATTTGTTATACACAAATGTATGGGTCCATTCTCACATGACTGTATGTACATATACATATACACAGATACACAATCACAGACATTCATATGCACATATTTGTACACAAACATACATATGACTACATACATGCAGGTGTATATATGCTTTATAGCATTTACACATAATTATGCATATTTTACACATTCAAAACTATAAATTGTACATTTGATATTAATGGCCATATCCACGAATTTATCAGGCATGCACACACATTACAAATACATATGTATTTAGAGTGTGCAAATTCATAGATACACACATCACATATAAAGATACACACACAACATATACATTTATATTGTCTTTATACCTACACTGTCATGTGAAAATACACATATGGACACACCCATATTGCTTGTAAGAACTTTGTGGGTAGGTGGGGAGACTTGATCTTAATGGATTTTGTTTTATAGATCAGGTACAAAGACTAAGAGAGGTGAAGTGACTTTCTTGAAGTCACATAGAACCAGGATTAGAAAACAGGTATGGTGAGTCTTAACCTATCCTTATTTTCCCCACGCAATGATGACTCTCTTTAGAGACTATGGAACACACACTAATATGAACATAGAATAAGAAATAACTTGTTCAACAATAATCACTGTATCTATACAACCCCTCTTCCATGCCATTTTACCCTTTCCAAATTCCTTGGGCAGAGTAGGGCAGGCTCCTTTTACCTGTGAATCTATGTTGAGCACTGAAGAAAAAGCCAGAGCTCGAGGCAGGTTGTGCAGCAGGCATCTCTCAGCCCAAAATCAGGTACTACTGCCTCCAAAAACTCTACTCTAAACCAAAGCATAAGTCAAGGGATGATTCTCCCCTCACCTGAACAGGCTCACACTGACCTGAAGAGGCTCATAAAGCAAGTCCTGCCTTTTAGTTCCCATGCACTAGACTGCCTCCCAGCAGGCTAGCCCACAGGAGAAAGACCTGAGATGCGTTTTGGAATCTGCTATTCTGAGCAGTGTGATGTCTCCAAATGATACCAAGAAACCTTCTTCCACACCCCTAGTTCCAGGTGGTAAATAATATCTTCTTCCATCCAAACAGCTTCTTTCTCGGAGGACTCCCTAGTCCCAATGGGTGCTGTCTCAGGAAGCGCATCTAATTGTGTTTTTGTGTCATTAGTTGGGAATATCCTTTTGGGGAAAGCAGAAAGGGGAATGTGAACAAGAGATACTAGGATCATGATTTAAATAATAAATATGGTACCATGTGCTAAATATTACATTAATTTTTTTCACAAGATAAATCTCTTTTAAAATTTACAGCAGCCTAGTGACATAGTGTTAATAGTTACACTTTATAGAAGTATAACCGAGCTTAATAGACTTTAAATAACTGGTCCAAAATTACAGAACTAAGGACTTATGCTTATAAATTTATAGCATAAGATGTATAATTTAAAAATGAAACAAGAATTCAGCTGTTCCCCACTGTTGTCTCAAGAGCTTGATATAACTACTTTGGATATGTGTCTGGTTTTGAAGTCATTCTGAAGAAAATTCTGATCTCTTTCAGGGTCAATCTATTCCTGCATCCTCATTTGTCTATTCCATTTTTTACTCAGATGCATCATTTTAAAAGCCACTTTACCTTATTTTCATCCTCTTCCTTTGTTTCAACTATGCTGCAATATCTGCATCCAGATATGTGATATACGTGATATAATCTGATATAATCTTCACAATCTGAAGGTGATATTTCTACCTTCAGATTGTTCTGAAACCTTAAAATGTCCCAAAAGTCTACCTACAACTAGATTAATCTGACTTGTCACTCTTAAAATGCATGTTTCTCTGATATACTAATCGTGTAAATAGTTGTACCTTCAACATACATCTTCACTCATTGACTGATTTAATAGAAACAACAATGGTAATTGGCAACATGTATTCATCACCAGATATCGACTAATTTCATTATATAAATTTAATAAAATATATAAGTATTATTATTATTCCTATTTTTCTGATAAGAAAACTGAGGCATGAAAAATATTAAATAACTTACCCAAGATAACACAGCCAATTGGTGATGCAGTGGCAAGTAGACTTAAGAAGCCTTTCTTTTGTTCACCATACTATTTCCCAGGATCCTGCAGTGGGGTTAGGAAGATCCAAAAGATGAGTTAGATGTCGGAATAAAATAACAATTAATTTTATAACTATTTTTCTTGCAATGTTGTTTTAGTTGTTGGTCTAGGAATTACAGCATGTATTTTTAACATAATCTACTTAAACTTAACATTGAATTATTTCCAGTTAAATGTAGAAAATTTGCAATGTTTTAGTCCCAATTATGTAAACCTACTGACACGTCGTCGTAATTTTTGAACAGGCATGTGCTATCATAAAGAAATTAAGAGAAAATTACCTTTGTGCATAATCTTTTATATTTAACCAATGTTTATCATTTTCAGTGCTCTTCATTCTTTCTCATAAAATCAGATTTTAAGTTCCTTCAGCCTTAAGGATTTCTCTTAGTATTTCTTATGGTGTAGTTTTGCTAGAAATACATTATCTACATTTTTATTTATTTGAAAATATCTTCACTTTTTCTTTATTTGTAAAATGTACTTTTGCTGGATATAAAATTACTAGTCATCAGGGTTTTTTTCTTTCATCTTTCTATGCCATTTTCAATGTCTCTGTCCTCAAAAGTTTCTGTTGAGAATGCTATCATTAATTGTATCATTTTTCCACCCTTAAATAATGTGTCATTTTTCTCTTTTTGCTTTAATATTTTCTCTCTACTATAAGAAATTTAACTAAAATGTACTTGAATGTACCTTACGTGTTTCTCTTACTTGTGGCTTATGGAACACCTTGAACTAGTAAATTAATATTTTCCACCAAATTTGGGAAGTTTTCTGCTATTATTTCTTCAATATTTTTCTTTATCTTTTTCTTTTTTGTTTGTACAAATGTAGAGGGTACATGAGATATTTTGTTACATGTATATAATGCATAGTAATCAAGTCAGGGTATTCAGAGCTTCTGTCACCCAAGCACAATACATTTTTGTTAAGCATAGTCACCATATTCTGATATCAAGCATTGAATTTACTCTATCTCACTGTGTATTTGTGCTGGGTGATGGTTATTATTGTGTCAACTTGATTGGATTGAAGGATGCAAAGTGTTGTTCCTGGGTGTCTCTGTGAGGGAGTTGCCAAAGGAGATTAACGTTTGAGTCAGTGGACTAGAAGAGGCCGACCCACCCTCCATGTGGATGGGCACAACCTAATCAGATGCCAGTGTAGCTAGGATAAAAGGCAGAGGGGTGTGGGAGGACTAGACTGGCTGTCTTCTGGCCTCCATCTTTCTCCTGTGCTGGATGCTTTCTGACCTCGGACAACGCACTCCAAGTTCTCCAGCTTTTGGATTCCTGGGCCTGCACCATTAGTTTGCCAGGGGCTCTCAGGCCTTCAGCCACAGACCGAAAGCTGCACTGTTAGCTTCCCTACTTTTGAGGTTTTGGGACTCCTTGCTCCTCAGCTTGCAGATGACCTATTGTGGGTCTCCACCTTGTGATTGTTTGAGTCAATACTTCTTAATAAACTCCCTTTCATATATACATCTATCCTATTCATCCTTCCCCCTAGAGAACCCTGACTAATGCTATTTAACAAAATTATCTTCATGCAACCCTTCCTCCTGACCCTTCCCAGGATTTTTAATTTATCTTTCCAGTATCTACTTCCATGGGATCAAATTTTTTAGCTCCCACATACAAGTGAGAACATGCAGTATTTACTTTTTGTGTGTCTGGTTTATTTTACTTAAGATAATCACCTCCAGTTACATCCATGTTGCTGCACATGGCATGATTTCATCCATTTATGCCTGAATATTGTTTCAGTGTGTATATCTACCGCATTTTTGTTTTTTATGCATTCATCTATCTGTGCACACTTAGCTTGATTGCATATCTTTGCTGTTGTAAATAGTACTACAATAAACATGTGAGTGTAGTAGTTATCCCTTTGATATATCCATTTCTTTTCCTTTATATAGATATCTAGTAGTGAGATAGCTGGATAAAATAGCTGAGAACTCTCCATACTGTTTTCATAGTGACTGTACTTGTTTACATTCCCACTAACAAATATGTGAAACTTTCTCCACATCCTCACCAGCATGTTATTTTTAATGACAGCCGTTCTGACTGAGGTAAGATGATATCTCATTGTGGTTTTGATTTGCATTTGTCTGATGATTTTTGGTGTTGACCATTTTTGCATATACTTGTTAGCCATTTGTATACCTTCTTTTGAAAAATGTTTATTCATGTTCTTCGCCCACTTTTTAATGGGATTATTTGGGTTTTTCTCCTGCTGAGTTGAGTTGCTTGTATATTCTGGATATAATTTCCCTGCAAGATAAATAGTTTGGAAATATGTTCTCCCATTCAAAAGATTGCTCTCTGCTTTGTTGATTGTTTCCTTTGCTATGCAGAAGCTTTTTAGTTTAATGTGTTCCCATTTTTTTTGTTGTTGTCACCTGTTCTTCTGATGTCCTGGTGATAAATTACTTGCCTAAACCAATGTCCAGGAAATGTTTCTCTAGATTGTCTTCTAGTGTTTTATCATTTAAGGTCTTATGTTTAAGTCATTAATCAATTTTGAGTTTATGATGAGAAACAGGGGTCTAATTTCATTCTTCTGCATGTGGCTATCCAATTTTTCCAGCACCATAAATTGAAGAACATGTCCTGTCTTTAAGGTAAGTTCTCATTGGCTTTGTTGAAGATCAGTTGGCTCTAAGAATGTGACTTTCTTTCTGGACTTTCTATTCTATTCCATGGG